AAAATTAGCACATCTGCAATGGGCTTAGGTACTTAGAAATGCATTCAGTGGACTTTTTTCCCAGGAGAGTTTGCCTTGCACTGTAATCCCAAATACAATCTAAATAACATTTCTTGAGCACACAAATGGGAAAACCTTCCTGCATTTCCCTATTGAAAACTAACTGTATTAACCCAGCACAGATCTACAGAACTAAGCACTATTAATTAGACAGAAGAGCATTCATTCCAAGTAGTAAAGCAATTAATCAGAAGCAAAACACCCGAGAATACAAAAGTAAGCAAATAATTCAAACTAATTAACATTTGCGGATGGAATGTGTATCTGTCATAGCTAATAAGGATATTAAAAATAACTGGCACTTAATTCCATTGCTATTTCCTTTTTGACTGCGTTCAACACCTGCTTAATGTGAGCTAGAGAAGCCCCCAGGGCAACAATCAAAGGCAAGGCATGCAGGGCAGATTTTCTGCAGCATTTATGAAATAGCATACCACACACACAAATGGTGCAGGAGAGTGCAATGCCTTGGAAAGAGAAAATTAGCAAGAAAAATCAAGAATGAATTTTTCAAGAAGCTAAGCCAAGCAATCCTCCACTCTTAATTATTTTGGGAGGAGCTGCATTGGTGCAACGGATTAAACCTTTGTGCCAGCTGAACTGCTGACCTGAAGGTCGGTGGTTTGAATCCACGAGATGGGGGTGAGCTCCTGTCTGTCAGCCCCAGCTTCCCAAGCAGGGACATGAGAGAAGCCTCCCACAGGATTGTAACACATCCAGGCATCTCCGGTCAACGTCTTTGCAGACAGCTAATTCTCTCGCACCAGAAGCGACTTGCACTATGTTCTCAATTCACTTTTGACACGATAAAATAATTATTTTGGGGCAGGAAAGAGACACCACTTTGTTGGGTGGGAGATACCTGCCATATCTAACATCGCTCAGTCACCGTAGAAGAAGATGAAATGCATCCTTGTCATTCAATCATTTTTTTTCTATTAAGTGTTATGAAATATTTTGCTGTCTGAAACAATGGGCAATATTTATTTTTCCTCCTCTGATTGACACACACACACACACACGTATATTCCATAATTCCATATTCACATTCTAAATGCCCCATTTTTCCTTCAGTTTTTGGTATATCCAATGTGCAGAGAATGGCACAAATGCCCCACGGTACACAGAGAAATAATGAAATGAGAATTCATTCTGAAAGCTATTTGACTATAGCAATGCCTGTTAAAGACTCTGCTAAACCTTCATTGCCAGATAATGAAATTGGCCATAAAAATCATTTATGAGTCAAGGCAGGGGAACTATTGCTGCTAATTTGATTTAAAGTGAACAGTTTTAATAAGCAGGACATTCAGTTTACTCAAGCCAATCTCAGCCATTACTTTACTGTTCAGGATGAATCCAGAGAGAATTGACTTTCCAGCTTTTGTTTCATTTGTGCTTGAAAGTATCAAATTTTTGTTCAGTGTTACATTCTATCATTATAGCATGATGATTCCACTTTAACAGCTACAACTGCATAACGGTGGAATCCTGAGAATTGTAATGCAGAATGCTACAATTTTGGCAGAGGAACTAGAGGAACTTCTGCCTGATAATCCTATGCACTCCACCCCAAATAGCCAGGCCCGGCACTCCATGGGATGTTATAGCCAGTGCTATAATTCTGCAGTGTGAAAGGACAACAGGAATTAAATTTTTATTGTGGGCAGCCGAATTTATTTATTTATTTATTTTCAGTATTTATATTCTGCCTTTCTCACCTCAAAGGAGACTCTGGACAGATCGCAGGACATACATATGTGACAAACATTCAATGCTGTTTTTATACACAAACAAGACAGACAAATGTACATAGATAGGGGAATATTTTGGCTTTCCCCCTTCTTTGGCATCTTGGAGGCTTTGTGCTCAGTCCCGACCATAGGGGTGCTATTGCTCTGTCTCCCTGCCGAAGAGCTTTGTTCGTCAGCTTCCTCCTTTGATCAAATCGCTGACATTTCTTATGGGTGCCTCAAAATACTTTCCTTTTTAAAAAGCGGTACTGATTTATCTACTCACATTTGCTTTCGAATCGCTAGGTAGGTGGAAACTGGGCTAAAGACCAGGAGCTTACCCTGACCCTTTCAGGAGTTAGAATCATAGAATCACAGGATCATAGAGTTGGAAGAGACCTCGTGGGCCATCCAGTCCAATCCCTACCAAGAAGCAGTAAAGTTGCATTCAAAGCACTCCCGACAGATGGCCATCCAGCCTCTGTTTAAAAGAGATCTCTATTTCCCTAGAGATCTCAGTAGCAGGTTCTTTGGTGAAAGTGGTGCCATGAAACATTATTTCTCTATCTATCTATCTATCTATCTATCTATCTATCTATCTATCTATCTCTATCTATCTATCTATCTATCTATCTATCTATCTATCTATATCTACTTATCATTTCTCTCTTTCTCATTGGAGATCCCTGTGGTGAGCTTTTTTAGGGAAGTTGGTATGGGACAGCTCTGTCCAATCTGTCTTTATTTTCCTAGAGATCCCAGTGATGGCTTATTTGGGAAGGGCAGTGCCACAGAAAGTATCTATCATCTATCCACCAATCTATCCCTCTGATTTATCTATTTCCTTAGAGATCCCCGTGGTTTCTTCTATCTGTCTAATACCTGCTTCTCTCTTTCCCTAGAAAGTGCTGGAGGTTGTAAATGTAAATAAATAGAAGCTTTACCACAGTTTCGGAATCAAAATATACTTTGCAGTATAATAATGTGTCACTCAGATTTGTGTAACAAGTAAAAGTAACTAAAGTAACTAAAAGTTCAAAAGGTCAAACAGAGCAACAGTATATACAGCAATCTCTCTGAATTCTTTACCGAGAACAGAATTTTATTCATGCCTTAGAAATGATCAGGCTTCAAAGGGTTGGCAGCCATTTTCTTCCTAGCTGTTTCCACTCAGCGCTCTCTTCACTCTCCGAAGTGAAAGTGGCAGTTAAAACAGTTTGTATCAGCAGCACGTCAGAGACAGTAGCCAATCAGAATTCTGGCTTCTGACATGCTCAGCCAATCAGCTGCCGACACATGCATTTCCAGTCAACTCATCACATCATGGTGCCTTTTTTACAAATCCCCTCAGAAAGAGACAGAGTATAAAGTATAAATAATATACTTTATTTATATTCCGCCCTATCTTCCCGAGGGAACTCAGGGCAGATTACGGCAAACATTCAGTGCTGTGATACAATTAACAAATACAGACAGTAAAGAAACAGAGGTAAAGGCTTCACATCTTTTTCCATCTCCAGCATCTGGAGGCTGTGTTCAACCCTGGCCATGGGGAGGTGCTGTTGCTCCATCTTCCATGCCGAGGAGCTTTGTTGTCCTTAGGCTCTCCCGATCGAATCACTGGCATGTCTGCATGAGCGCCTTTAATTACCTCTCCATCAAAGTGATACCTATCAAGCTACTCACATTGCTGTTTTCAAATTGCTAGGTGAACAGAAGCTGGGCTGATGGCAGGAGCTCCCCCCAACTGATGGGAGCTCACCTCAACCCGGGCTTGAACTGTTTACCTTTTTATCAGCAAGATTTACTGCAGCTGACAGTTTAAACCACTGTGCTAAAGCCCGGCCTTATCTATCTATCTACAGTAGAGTCTCACTTATCCAACATAAATGGGCCAGTAGAACGTTGGATAAGCAAAAATGTTGGATAATAAGGAGGGATTAAAGAAAAGCCTATTAAACGTCAAATTACATTATGATTTTACAAATTAAGCACCAAAACATCATGTTTTACAACAAATCGACAGAAAAAGCAGTTGAACACACAGTAACGTTGTATAGGAATTGCTGTATTTACAAATGTAGCACCAAAACATCGCAATGTATTGAAACAGCTGTAGATCCAGGCGGGAGGAGACTGTGTTGGATAATACAGAACGTTGGATGAGCGAAGGTTGGATAAGCGAGACTCTACTGCAGTGGTTCTCAACCTGTGGGTCTCCCCAGAAGTTTTGGCCTTCAACTCCCAGAAATCCTAACAGCTGGCAAACTGGCTGGGATTTCTGGGAGTTGGAGGCCAAAACACCTGAGGACCTGCAGGTTGAGAACCACTACTCTACTGTAACTATCTTTCTAAACTATCCAATCTATCTAGAGATCTCACTGGTAGTTTTTCTAGGGGAAGGTGGTGCCATGAAACTATCTATCTGTCTGTCTATCTAATTTATCTATTTTCCTAGAGATCCCAGTGGCAGGTTCTATGGCAAAGGAGGTCCCATCACTTACTTAGGCAATCCCTCGTTGTCCGGGTAGGATTGTCTTCCAAGATCGGTGTACTGCAGTGGTTCTTACCCTGTGGGTCCCCAAATGGTTTGGCTTTCAGTTCCCAGAAATCCCAACAACTAGTAAACTGGCTGGGATTTCTGGGAGTTGTAGGCCAAAACACCTGGGGACCCACAGGTTGAGAACCACTAGTGTACTGGTAGTGGGTACATAGGTGACTGTGGAGCCCTATTCTTGATTTGCATCTTCTCTCGCAGTGAGGGCATCGGTTTCTAGGTGGAAGGCGGTCCCAGTCAGGGTTGACTTGACACGCCTTCCTCTTGGCACGTTTCTCTTTTTCGCCCTCCATTCGTTCCTCTTCAAATTCTACAGCACTGCTGGTCACAGCTGACCTCCAGCTGGAGTGCTCCAGAGCTTCCCAGTTCTCAGTGTCTATGCCAGAGTTTTTAAGGTTGGCTTTGAGCTCATCTTTAAATCTCTGGTCCCATGAAACATCTATCTATCTGTCTATCTGTCTATCCATCAATCCACCCACCCATCCATCCCTCCCTCTGATTTATCTATTTCCCTAGAGATCCTTGTGATGTATTGTTCGATTTGTCTAATATCTACCTCTATGTCTCTTTCGCTATTGATCTTAGTGGCGGGTCTTCCGCGCGTCCTCCTGCCAGCAGAGGGCGCTGTCGGCGGCGGCGAGAAGGCGGGCCTGCGGAAGGGCAGCGGAGCGGGAAGGGGAAAGGGACGGGCTCGCGCAGCAGGGACGAAGAGCAGGCAGCGGGACCAGGTAGGCGCCGGGGCGCGAGGCGGGAGAGAGTGGGGCCTTCATTTCCGGCCAATGGAAAGAATAGAGGGCCCATCTACGCTGCAGAAGGAATGCAGTTTAGCATCGCTTTGATGACCATGTCCCAGGGCTATGGAATCCCGGGACTGGTCGTTTTGCAAGGCCCTGCCAAACTACAGTTCCAGAGTACTGCAGTCTTGAGCCATGCCAGTTGAAGTGGGTTCAAATTGCATTCATTGTACAGTGTGGAGCAAGCATGGGCAAACTTGGGCCCTCTTAAGTGTTTTGGACTTGAACTCCCACCATTCCTAACAGCCTACTACAGTTCCCAGAAGCCCCCAGCCTGCATTCGCAGGCTGGGGGCTTCTGGGAACTGTAGTAGGCTGTTAGGAATGGTGGGAGTTCAAGTCCAAAACACTTAAGAGGGCCCAAGTTTGCCCATGCTTGGTCCACACACTGTAGATGCATCTTGAGAGATGTATCACTCCTTTCTGGGGTCATTAAGCAGAGGCTGGATGAGCATCTCTCGGGAATGCTTTCGTTATGTGGCAAGGGCTTGGACGGGGGGGGGGGGGGGGCGCGAGAGGGTGTCAGAGGCGTCACCAACGAACATCACAAAATACAGTATTATCTGTTGGTCATGGGGGTTCTGTGTGGGAAGTTTGGCCCAATTCTATCGTTAGTGGAGTTCAAGGGATTCTTTGATTGTAGGTGAACTATAAATCCCAGCAACTCCAACTCCCAAATGTCAAGGTCTATTTTCCCCAAACTCCGCCAGTGTTCACATTTCGACATATTGAGTATTTGTGCCAAATTTGGTCCAGATCCATCATTCTTTGAGTCCACAATGCTCTCTAGTTGTAGGCAAACTACAACCCCAAAACTCAAGGTCAATGCCCACCAAACCCTTCCAGTATTTTCTGTTGGTCGTGGGAGTTCTGTGTGTTAGGTTTGGTTCAATTTCATTGTTGGTGGAGTTCAGAATGCTCTTTGATTGCAGGGGAACTATACATCCCAGCAATGACAACTCCCAAATGACAACATCAATCCCTGTCCCCCCAACCCCACCAGTATTCAAATTTGGGCTTATCAGTTATTTGTGCCAAATTTGATCCAGTGAATGAAAATACTTCCTGCATGTTAGATATTTACATTACGATTCATAACAGTAGCAAAATTACAGTTGTGAGGTAACGAAAATAATGTTATGGTTGGGGGTCACCACAACATGAGGAATTGTATTAAGAAGTCACAGCATTAGGAAGATTGAGAACTACTATACTTCAACCACAGCCTTGGGATTACACACGATCGTGGCTCCCGTTAGATTAATTTTACTTTTCCCAGCAGTGTATGGCATGCCTCTTGCTAAAACAGTGTGGGTCCCCAGGTGTTTTGGCCTACAACTCCCAGAAATCCCAGCCAGTTAGGATTTCTGGGAGTTGGAGGCCAAAACATCTGGAGTCCCACAGGTTGAGAAACACGGTGCTGAAAGATAGAAGAGAGATTTGCAAGGGATTTGGCAGAAGGCGCAGGCTGGAAAAACTTGGATTGGGATTTTGGAATATATTCAATATATATTCGGGCCGAGAAAGGCGGCATAGAAATGCAGTAAATAAATAAATAAATAAATATTCACATGTGGCTCCATCCTGTGGAGTCTTGGGATCTATTCCTATAAACAAAAAATATAGACTTACTAAAAAAGAGACAAAACTTTATTTCCTGTGTATACGTAAGCTATAAAATAATAGAAGAATTAGGGAAGGCAATCATGCATTATTGTCTCAAATCCCAGGATTCTGTGGAATGGAACCATGGTATTTAAAGTGGTATCAAACAGCTATAATTGTGCAGAATGGATGTACCACAAGACTTCATTGATTTATGAAACTTGACAGGTACAGACACTCGCTCTTTCATCTGACAGAGGAGAATCATATACCACTTTTTGGGTCCTGAAGGAAAAAGGATGATCGAGAAAATATAATAATTATTTCAAAAAGAGTAACACAAAATAGAATTACAAATGTGCTGAACCTACAGCAGAATCCCATATGTGTTTACAAGAAAGTGGATCGACTGAGATAAATGGGATTTACTCCTAGGTAAATGGGGATAGGATTACAGCCCTGGTGTTAATTCTATGCATACTTCTGAACAGTTGGGCTACACATCCTGTCCGTGTCCTTATGCTGGAGTAAGGATACGAGCAGGCAAGAAAGAACTAAAGTGTAGGAGATGTTGGCTTTTGAGAGCCTGCAAAGTTTTCTAGCTCTCTCTCATCAACATCACACTGCATGACCCTGGTAAAAAGTGTAATTACTAACTATAAAAGGTAAAGGTTTTCCCTTGACATTAAGTCTAGTTGAGTTCAACTCTGGAAATGGTGCTTATCTCCCATTTCTATGCCAAAGAGCCGGCGTTGTCCATAGGCACCTCCTAGTTCATGTGGCCAGCATGACTGCATGGAGCGCCATTACTTTCCTGCTGGAATGGTACCTATTGATCTTCTCACATTAGCATGGTTTCGAACTGCTAGGTTAGCAGAAGGCTGGGCCTAACAGTGGGGGCTCACCCAACCTTTCAGTCGGCAAGTTCAACAGCTCAGCGTTTTCACCCGCTGCGCCACCAGGAGGCCCTAAAGACAACTATAATATTTCTGAAAGATGCCCATCCAACTTGTTTTAAAGGTCTTCAAAGATGGAGATTGCATCACTCTCCAAAGTAGTCCATGCCACTAGGTTGCTGTGAGTTTTCCAGGCTGTATCACCATGCTCCAGAAGCATTCTATCCTGATACTTCACCCACATCTATGGCAGGCACTCTCAGACCTCACAACCTCTGAGGCTGCCTGCTATAGATGTGTGCAAAACGTCAGGAGAGAATGCTTCTGGAGCATGATCATACAGCCCGGAAAACTCACAGCAACCCAGTGATTCCGGCCATGAAAGCCTTTGGCAGTTTATTCCATTGTTGAACAGCTCTTACAGTAAAAACAACAGCCCTTTCTAATATTTAGGTGGCATCTCATTTCTGCTACACAGTATTCTGGCCAATGTTTGCTGTAGTCAGACTGCTCACCAATTGAACTTGCTGGGATTAATTTCCAAATTAGAGTATCTAGGGTTGAAGTGGAATCCTGATCATCAGCATGTCACTTGCTTCTGATCAGTGCTTTACACATACGAGTGCACAGTACTCATACAATTCAGCTGTAAACATGACATAAAATATTCAGTGAAAACTATATAAAAGGTGTTTAAAGCCCAGTATATTACAATAACATCCATTCCACCCCCTCCCATTTAGAAGCACACTCTACTTGTGGAGCAGCAGAAACAAATACGTGATAGTTGCTGGTTATAGACTTTTCAGGACTGGCTATGAAGCAGGCGCGAGCAATGGATGTCTCTCCAGAGTTTTTATTTTCTTGTTCCAGGGTATGCTATGACGTGTTTCAGGCTGTCTCTTGGTACTTTTAGACGTCTTCATGTCTGGCTTGGACTCTTGGAGAAGTCTCCTTATGGACATTGCACACCTTGGAAGAGGTTTCTTTGCTCTGCAAGCCAACAACCTACGACAGCAATCTCCCTGAACCACTTCTGCATTTCTCCCATTAAATGCCATGTCTTTTTAATACCCTCATCCAAAAAAACACCATGGATTTCTGTACGGCTCAAAAGCAACAAAAGTTCTCGGAAGAACATGAAACAAACTGTGCCAGAAGATACTGAAGAGGAGGAAGATGAAGAAGAGGACAAAAGTGACTCTGAAGATGAATTTGAAGATGATTCTACCATAGAGAAAGATTACAAAGATCTTGAAAAAGTAGTACAGTCTTTCCGGTTTGATGTAATAATGAAATCTGGGCTAGATATTGCAAGAAAGTAAGTATAAAGATTCAAAGTGGCTTGCAAGTCTGGGATTGGATGAATGTGGTCTCTTAAAATAAGCCTTTTATTGCTAGGATAAGTGAGATAAAAATAGATTATAATGTTCTTTGTCCAACAGGAATAAGTCCAAAGGAAAGTTACCATTTTGCTATTCAGCAGACAGTAATCCTAGTTAATGAACAATGCAGTTAAAATCTAAAACAAACCAGAATGCAAGCTAATATTGTAACATAGGCTTTGGAAAAATACATAGGATTATACTTTTCAAGCATATCTCGTCTCCAGCCCATTCCTTTATAGCAATGGTTCCCAATCTGTGGTCCATAGACCACCAGTCGTTTACAAGAATGAAAAAAATGGTCCATGGCCTCTCCACTACTACACTGTTGCCTCAAAACCATGTGGCAGCAAGAGCGACTGGTCTTGCAAAACCCTCTTATAGTGCCAAAGCAACGGGGATGTCGGGAGGGGAGAGGCTGACTACCCACAAAAGATTACTACTACCACATCAGCTCTAGATTATTAAATATAGTTTTCTGTGGGCGAACAGATGGCAACTACTGGATGGCATATGTTCTGTATCAGAAACTAGAGCTGATGTGGTCTATCCAATATATTTTTTCTGAATCAGCACCCCAAATAACCAAACCGAATCTAAAGTTGACCAAAAACCGATTCATAACCCTTTTGGTACTAATGTTGGAGAGTGGTTTGGTCAAATGGTCCCTGGTCAAATAAAGGTTAATGCAGGCACATGTCCTGCCCAAATAGGCACCAACAATCACTTGAGTGTTTGGTGAACTCTGAACAGTCAGTAAAGAGCTTCTATGGTAAAGTGAATTAGGAAGACCTGGGAAGGCTCCTTTGTGGTCATTTAACAGAAGCATTGGATAGTAATGGTTATGGCATTGGTATGAAAGCATTCAAGATTCCTTTTTGTTTCAAAGCAAAGTGGAAGATGCCTTCTACAATGGTGAACTCAGGTTGAATGGAGAGAAGCTGTGGAAGAAAAGTAGAGCGGTAAGGATTTTTCGAAATATATTTTTTACTGAAACTGATAAGAAGGTACATGGTAAAACATTGATCTAAAACTGATAAAACACATCTCACATGCACTGCTATTAATTTATCTGATTAAATTAATAGCAGTTCATTAAGAACAAATCTTATCAAGAATGGGTCACCATAGGCTGGAAACTACTTGAAGGCACATAGCAACAAGAAAGTAATAGACTTTTTAAATTTATCGTGTCAGAAGCAAATAGAGGGTACAGTTATAACGTATTTAAAAACACAAAGTTAAAAAAAATTGGTATGATGTTATGTCCTTTGACCAGAAGCTGGCCACTTGGGAGTGCCTCTGGTGTTGCCGCAAGAAGGTCCTCCATTGTACCTGTGGCAGGACTCGGGTTGCATTGTAGTAGGTGGTCTGTGGTTTGCTCTTCTCCACACTCGCATGTTGTGGACTCCACTTTGGGCTGATTAAAGTTTTGCATTACATGGATGAACTTCAGTGAACCCATGCAAGGCCTCAGGCTTTTGAACTTCCTCCTCCCATTCCCTAGTTTTGTATGTACTAGTAGAAAGGATTCACTAACATTTAGTGGTACTTCCAAAAAATCCTGCTTTGTGATGTATGAACAAGATACTGTGGTTGAAAACCAGCTCATTCAGTTTCTAACAAGTCATGTTCACACAAGTCACTAAGCCAACTTGTTTAAAAAACCGGTTTGATTGAACTACAACCATTGATCCAAATGTAATTATGAGCCAGAATTATTTGATAGTTGATATTAAAACTAAACATAAACATAGCTCTTCACCTCAGAAATGGGGAGAGAGAACAGACGAATGTGAGACTTTGCTTGGGATTGTTCCAGCTCATGAATGTAGCACTAAATAAAAGTTAAAAACTGCATGCCTGCAGACCCGGCACTATGATGAATTGGGATTTTAAAATAAATCCATTCCAACACTAGAAGGACCTGGATAGGTTTTTATTGAACAAAATTAGGAAAGATCACAAGTAATAAATTATTTATACTACTAGCCCCTTCCTTCAGTCCCTTTCCTTTTGCTTCTAACTCGCTGGTCCTGATAAAAAATCAGAGTTTTCATGGTGTATGTGAATGAAGTATCTAAATCTTTATACTCATTTCCACAGTTTGATAAAATAGCTCAGTTAAGTACAACCCATTCCAGTAGGGTAGCTATCTTGGACTTAGATGATAATGATTGGCAAAGTGGAAGGTGGTAGGAAAAAGGAGGAGACCACAATATGGGTGGATTGATGCAGTAGGGAAGCTGGGTAGACCTGAGTAGGTACCACTTCTGCAGGAAGGTAACAGCTCTCCATGCAGCCATGCTGGCCACATGACCTTGGTTTGAGGCATCTATGGACAATGCTGGCTCTTTGGCTTAGAAATGGAGAGGAGCATCACCCTCCAGAGTCAGACAAGACTAGACCTAATAATGTCAAGGGAAACCTTTACCTTTTACATAGATGTAAGTAAATTAAAGCTGATGTGATGGCACTCTTCTTTCTTTTAGGTAAAAGTTGGTGACACACTGGACCTCATAATTGGAGAGGATAAAGAAACAGAAACTGTTGTCGTTATGAGAGTTGTGTTAAGGAAAGCTTCAGAGAAAGATGATGGTGATAAATACAAAGTGGTTTTGAGGCGCTGGAGAAACTTAAAGGTGCCCAAGCAGGATGTATTTAAATGAACTATGATTTGCATGTGTTGGTAATTTACCTGTGATCAACCCATTTGTTAACACAATATATGGATTTTGGTTAAACAAAATTCTTGCACTTTTAACTATTTAAAGGGTATTTGATGGCATGCCACCTTCCTTACCATAAGCAATTCTGTCTCTGTCAGTTTGCTGCTTTTTGTTTCATTTGGAAGGGGAGAACAATACTTCTGAGAAATAAAAGGGAAGGCTAGTCTGAAATTGCCTCTGCTTTTGTTTAAACAACATTTTAGGAATGAAAAAACTGGACTTTGCTTCACTTTTTATGTCTTGTGAAATGGGTAGGCAAGTAATTTCAGAAAGTTGGTCCCGGAAAGAGAAAATACTGTGTTAGATGCATAGTGCAAATTTTCCTAAATGAATCCACAAATTTGAAGCCTTCTTGATTTCCTTTTGCATCTTGTGCCTGTGAAATAAAACAAAATGCACAAAAGAGTGATACCTTTATTGGCCAACCAAAATGCACAAAACACTTCATGCAAGCTTTCATGTGCCTATTTGACATATGGATGCATCTGCTGGCTCCAGTTTGTGACAACAAAGTAGAATTCTGTAAACTATAGATATAGTGTGGTGGAAACAAAGAGGATGAATGTTAGAACTGTCTCAGGAAATTTATTTATTTACTATATTTGTATACCGCCTCTCTCAGCTTTCCGGCGACTCAAGGCGGTTTACAAGGCAAAATTCAATGCCACCAAGAACACAATTACAATATAAAACGTCAGCATCAATAAAATAATAACACTGTAATAAAACATAATTCAATAAATACTCATTAAAACAGTGTCCAGTCCTGTCATGTAGTTGTTGCGGTTCAGAAAGTGTGGTAGGAAACTAGCCCTATACACATTATCTGAAAGCCTTGTATTTGTTTTAGGAAGATAATAGAGCAGTGGTTCTCGACCTGTGGGCCCCCAGATGTTTTGGCCTTCAACACCCAGAAATCCTAACAGCTGGTAAAATGGCTGGGATTTCTGGGAGTTGTATGCCAAAAGACCTGGGGATCCACAGGTTGAGAACCACTGCAATAGAGGAACACACAAAATGCTCTTTTCACTTCACTGAGAGATGCTCTAGACACAGGTGTTGTCTTTTTTGGTGGTTAGGCAAAATGTGATCCTTTGATGTTAGACTGGCGCTCTTAGCATTCCTCACCATTGGGTATAATGGTTCAGGCTGATGGAAGTTGCAGTCGACCATCTGGAAGGTCATGTTATTCACTTCTGCCTTATGCAGACAAAGTAAAGACAGCCGTTCCAATGGAGACAGAAATACACAGTATTCTGGATTTAAGTATTTGCATTTATGCACTATAATGTGCACTACCTTTGTGATTTTTTTTAACTGTTTGGCAGTTCAGGGTTTTATTCAGCGCTATGTGAAACTTGAGTCCTGTAAAAGAGCTTCGCTTTCCTCTCCTTCCTTTTGAAGCCTCCATGCCCCACTCCTAAATTGCTCCCTTAACTATCCAGATTGATTTTAGGGAATGCTTTGCAGGAGTAGCAGGAACACCCCTCCCCGGTTCTGCTGCAGCTGAATGCCTTGTTTCCATTAAAGAGATATTTGTTGGATTTCATCCTTATACTTTTGTTCCATGCTTTAATTTAAACAAGCAGCTTGAGGAGACACCTGTACTAATCACTGGGCTTCCATAGACAATGTGCGCTAGTAGTCAGTTGAGGAAGTGCAGTAAACAGTATAGGGGAAATGAAGTGAAAAGATAATGGTCTTCTTATCTCCTTATATGATATAGGAAAGCAAAATAAAGGCTTCCACTGTAGAGGTAAGTATAGTATGTCACCCTGGAAATTCTTTTGGTTAATATAATGATTTTTGTCAGTTCAAAATTGTGGCTGCCTTCCTATACACTTGTTGCCATGTAAAAAAAACCCCAGTGTGAACAGTAGTTTTAATAAAGACCGACAAAATGTTTGAAACAGTCTTAAGTTTGTTTTTGTGACCCTAAGAGCTAGAAAGTGGATTTCAAAAGCATTATTACGGATGTAGTGAAATAATAACTAGTTAGAAAATCTTTTAATGTTTAACCTACTTAGGCCAACAAAGCTGGAAGTAAAGCAGTTGTTAAAGCACAGTTAAATATAAAGTGGCAACTTTCAAATTTCATGTCTACAGCCCTACTTAACTGCTAAGGACCTTTTTTTGCACTTTGGCCATAGGATTCTGTAGTGTTGCAGAGTAAATTGGTTCTCATCATCCAATGGATCAGTGAGCAATACAACATTGGATAGCAGAAACAAGCTATTTTACAGAGGAAAATGCCTGCCACATTCTCATTGTGCATCTTCAGGGTTTATTACAACAGTGTGCAATCTATTAATGCAAAGAAAAGGTCCATGGAATTGTATACAAAATCCTACTTGCTTAGGCTTTCTTCATTAATTGTAACCCCCAGTGGCACAATTACTTAAACCCTTTTGCTGGCAGGACTGCTGACTGAAAGGTCGGCAGTTCAAATCCATGGAGTAGGGTGAGCTCCCATCTCTCAGCTCCAGCTTCTCATGCGGAGACATGAAAGAAGCCTCCCATAGGATGGTAAAACATCCAGGCATCCCTGGGCAACATCCTTTCAGATGGCGAGTTCTCTCACACAAGAAGCAACTTGCAGTTTCTCAAATCGTTTGTGACATAAAAAAACCTAATCTCTTTATACATTGAAATATGCTTCATTGGTGTATCAATTCTTGCCTAAGTTTCCTAGTAGACAGGAAGCAAGAGATACTAGGATTCCAAGACACTGCAATATTTATGTACAAAGATATGATGGAAATTATGTGATTTAGTTCTGGGGAAAGGAAGTTGTCAGAAAAAACAGTTGGAAACATCTTTCACTAATGCCTATTGCTCAGAAAAAAAACTTTGGATTCATGCCAACATTACTCACTGACCATATTAAGTATTTGTGGTATCCTATAGGGCATTTTATCATAAACCAAATGATGAGGTATGATTTAGAATGGCGGCATTGTGAAAGTCCTTTTTCTGAGGGGTGATTATTGTCGTAATTGGACAATTGCACAAGTGGAGCAAACATCAACAGTCATGATGTACAATGGTATGGCACTTTGTGAGACAGTTTTCTCTTGTGCAATGAGAGCACAAAGAAAAGAGCAGTCCAAACAGGGCTATAGGGCAGCGGTAATCCAAAATGCAATAGAAAATCATGACTTGTTTTATACCTGGCAGGGAAAGTGATTTAACAACAGATTTTGTATGGTATCCCATTTCACATTCGCAATTTTCTAATATGTATTAGTGATGTAGCTCTATCATTGTAAAGTTAGGAGCCCCCGGTGGCGCAGTGGGTTAAACCCTTGTGCCAGCAGGACTGAAGACCGACAGGTCGGAGGTTCAAATCCGGGGAGAGAGCTCCCTCTATCTGCTCCAGCTCTCCATGGGGGGACATGAGAGAAGCTTCCCACAAGGGTAGTAAAACATCAAAACATCCGGGCATCCCCTGGGCAATGTCCTTGCAGACGGCCAATTCTCTCATACCAGAAGCGACTTGCAGTTTCTCAAGTCCCTCCTAGCACGACAAAAAAATTGTAAGGTTACACATCATAGCACTAAAATGGGATTTTGGCCAATGTTGCATCCAGTACAATATGTGTATGTGCTTTTGCTAAAATGCAAGTTAAACTTGTGAAAATAAAAACTCTTAGGCTTTGGACTCCGTAAGAGCAAATTCTTTATTTATAATGGATTTTTAAAATAATACAGGATGCTGGCAATATTGGTTAACATAAACTGGATAAACAAAACAGTTGAGACTAGCCTAATGAGCTGGGAATCAATTACACACAACCAATTTAGTTAATTTTTTTTATAAAGCAAGCAATTAAAAAGTTTTAATTGCACTTCATTTGGCTGCAAGGAGATCTTCACATCAAAATCTTGGAAGTCTTGCTGGAAATCAAGAAAGGAACGCTTTTTTAAAAACCCTACAAAATTAGGAATAACTTCTCTTGCATAACTCTCAAAGGGTTTGCATGTAATGCTTATGTGTAAAATGACTTCAGTGGTTCATATTTCTGTGCAAGCTAAAGGTAGTTCTGTTTGTAACTGGTGGGCAATTATAGTTAATGAAATCCAGTAGAAGAAATCTGTATGAAGATAACTGGTCAAAATCCAGAAAGAGGCATTCATGGACAAACCTTTCATAATTGTAACTGGAGTAGGGGTGAGCTCCCTTTCCTCTGCAGGGCTTTGTATCATTGATGAACGTGTTTTAGGAGGCTGGAAAGTCCCTATAGTCTTGGGTTGTGCTCAGTTGCAGGGTGGGGAAGAGCTGATCTGTCACATTGGTGCTGCAGTACCAGAGTAATGTTGGGTTTACACCACTGGATTTTACTCTGGCATCCCCAGTGCATTGCTACTCTGAGAAAAAGTCTACCTGTGGAAATAAAGTGTGTGACTTGTGATGATTTTCCCTTTTCTTCTACAGCCTATGAACTGCCATACTATACACCAGCATACACTGTTTTGGGGGAAGAGAATAACAGAATAGGAGCAAGAATGAGGAATTAATAACAAATAGTTCCTAACTTATTAAGGCAGTGGAAAGCTTGGTTGGATCAAAAGTTCACAGCAGATGGAAGCTTTTTCACCTATGGGATGCATTAGCTATGTCCAATCCTCTCATCAGTATTGAGTGGTGCAATAACTAGTACATTTTGGAAACAATATTACAAAAAGTAACAGTCAGTTATGCTTGATCTGGGTGTCTTAAATATGTGGATATCAAGCCAGTATGGTGTAGTGATTTGAGTGCTGCATTAGGATTCCCGAGACCAGGGTTTGAATCTACTCAGCCAACGAAATGCACTGGGTGATCTTGTGTAAGATCAGCTGCAGAGGAAGGCAAGAAGAACTCCCTCTGAACAAATCTTGCCAATCTAGGATTGGTGAAGGGTTACCCAAGTTGGAAATGGCTTAAAATTATGCAACAAGTATAGGGATAATATCCATTATAAACTCCTGCTGACAAAATACGTTGTTACAGCCCCTGTGCCCATCACCAAGCCACAGAGTTTTGAAAGGTAAGGTGGGGAGACAAGAAGGGATGGCATTTAGCACTATGTTTAGCTTTGTGAGCATGTGAGATACTAATGCGGTAGAAGAGAGGCTAGGCGTAAACCTTTTTCTGCAACATACTAGTTTTCTATGGTCAGAGACAGTAGTTCTCTTATTCATTTTGACTACACTTTTGTGTTCTTGACCATTTGGAAGATATCAAGAACCTTTTTTTAAAAGTTTGCTAAGATCCTGACTCAAAAACATGGGGTTGGAGACAGTTTATTTATATAATGCTTGTTGGACAAGGATAATTAAGCTTTACAGTCCCGATTTGGTAGGTGGGTGGCACAATTCTCTTTGCAGCACCCTATGCAAAAGCCTCACAAATGCAAGTTTTTCTTATGTTGAATATATCTGCGTATGTACAGCATGCCAAGAACAACTAATGGATCACTGTGACTCTTCCTGTGATCATATGTATAATAGTTCAGTTCTGCATGTTATGACCATTGCTCTTTCCTACAGGGAAGCTGTGTTTTGATCATTTTCTACTGAGTTGCTTTCAGATGAATATAGAAGTGTGACAAGCTATCCTTAAGATGTGGGGATGCTCATGTGACCCAGAAGGTATAATGCAAAACCCAAAACTTCAATGGATAGAGCTACAGCCTTTCTCGTTATTTCTGTAACTGAGGTAGTATTGTTTTCAGTTGCTGTATTCATGGAAATCCACATAGCTGGACTACTTCATCTCTCATATTATTATGACATGGAGACTATTTAAATGATATAAATTCTCATTTGGGATGTCAATGTGACACCTATTTTAATAGAGACAGCAGAATGAGAGGCTGCAGTCCTACCCATACTTACCTCCAAGCAAATTCTATACAGCTTAATAGACTTGCTTCTAAGTAGATAAGGACATCATTGCCACTTTTTCAAACCTGTTAACATTTTAAAATCAATGATGATACCTTTAATTAAAACCATATACTACACAAAAATGTACTTTATTTTACAATCTATTATTTAGCCATCGGCCAGCCTCAGTTGTTCATATATTCTATTAGTTGAGAGACAAAGCAAACTCTATGAAATATCTGTATACTGAATTCTACTTTGAAGAACAGGAAAAATCTCACTATTTTCAATAACTTGCCATTTTCCTGATAGAGGTGTTGGTGTTACTAGATAGTTTACAAATAAAAGAAACCACGAAGTACCCCTTCATTTGATACATTCATTTTGCTGAATAAATGTTTACATTTGGGGGGGAGGGGGTACATATAGTTTTACCAACCTATCTTTGGTAAAATATTCTAGCCATAATTAAAATGCAGATACTTTATTCATGCATTCACCATGCATCCTTGCAGGAAGCTGCCAATCATAGCATCTGTCTATAAGCAAATGGTTTCAAAAACAGCCTGGCCAAGTTTTGGCACTGAAATCTATGTAATTAGGAAAGCAATGTGCAAGATTGGGAGTAGTAATTGGGTGAAATGTATTTTAAAAAACTGAATTAAAATACTGGATTCTGTTGGACAAGATAGAAATTTACATGGCTATATGACAGAATAAACAAGCAGAAGTACTATATTAATATTCATTAATTACTGACATTAGCGTCAGACAAGTTAAGCTTCCCAGTCCAGAGCCTGACACAGGACTCAGTGTGCACATGGAGATCCATGACGTTTGCCATATTCAAGGATATAATAGATCCACAGGAAGGGATTGTTTCCTTCACTATACTAGATGATAGAGCATTTCAGAAGAATTTTAGAAAAATCCAACGAATTGGGCACAGAGATAGTCATGTTTTAGTCACAAGGGAATGAATGCAACACATTAATGGGATTTTTTTAAAATGAAGGATGATTTCAAAGAGACAAATGTATGACATACATTATCTGGATCCAATCCTGTTCCTGCAAGTAATTTTATTTTTCTCTATCATGGGAATATAATGAAAAGGCAAAAAGGCTAACACTTCACTAGTGTTTGGGTATACTTAACAGAAACACACCATCAATAAGTTTAATACCTTGGATTTCAGGTAATTCAAAGGCAAATATTAGTAGAAAGGTGAAAAAATCATAACCTTTATGATAATGAAATAACCAGGGAGCCACTGTACCTAAAGATATAAATATAAAATCCCATGATGCAGAGAGCTATTTTATATGCCATTCCAAATAACCAAATATATAGATACATGAGACATTTAATATTTAAAGTCTGCAGAAATTTTACTAACAAAAATAATACGGGCTTAAATATTTTGTACATTCTTCAATTCAAGTATTTGTTCAGTAAGTAGTGAAAATAACAGGTAATAGCACCATGTTCTACTGATAAAGGGTAGGATTCTCTTTCACAATCTCTACTCATACCAGTAAATCTTAAACTGAGAGCTCACACCATTGAAGACAGTAAAATAACTTAGATGAATAAAAAAGGGAAGCATCCACACTACAATCTTACTATAAACACATATGTTAAATAATGTCATTATTATCTTAAATTTTACACCAACTTAGTTACAAAATGAAAAAATGCCAAAGGAAAACGGTGACTCTTCTGTTCGCTGATTTTATAGTATTTTCACTCTTCCAGCATTCAGACCAACATAAAGAATAACTGTAATTAGCACAAACTTTTCTTGATTTTCCGTTCTTCTTCAGACAATATGGCATTTCAAAAACTACAGGTTTCAAAAAATTTAAAACTTGTTAATTTCCAAATGACCGATTAAAAGAACCTAATGAAAAATGCCATAAAGAGCACAAGAATACATATTGTTAAAATCAATTAAGAATTTAAAACGATGTAATCTATTTTTACTAGTGAAGGTTATATTTAAACAAGATATTGTAGGGTCATCTCTAACAATTTACAGTTCCATGTTGTGAACCAATACAGGTAGTAAGGGCACTATCTATTAAGAATCTAGCCTGTATATAGGCATAATGAAACCAATTGCAATATATAGAATATATTTTACAATTTGCATTCATTTCAACTGTTTTCAAAAAGACATTCATACTTGACTGGACCTTACCTCCCTTGCTGCCCATATTGTCCTTTCCCATATATGTAATAATCACATATGGAGGAGCAATGCTCCAGGGTCAATTGCTTTAGTGCTGAGTCTACAACAGATTGACTTTTCAACTTGCTTCAAATAATTGAAGTGGTCAACAACATCTTTGGAAACATAAAAGATTCCCTCACTTTTTTGTTTTCTTAGCTTTTTTCAATATGTCACACTTTTTTCTATTGGGGCGCCTGCATCTTTCATCGATGCTGGGTATACATTCATAATGCCACACTTCGTCCATTTTGTCAACAGGATAAACAGCTTCAACATAATGACGGATTAGTCTCAGTCTGATAGGATCGAGTTGCTTTTTGTTACAAGCTCCTGAATGGTTGTACTGCAGTCTGAAGTTATCTGAAGTAAAGAGTTCTGGGAAAAGTCTTACAAGAAGTCTGGCAGCAAAGTTACCAACCGAAAGGCTCTGCTGTACTATCTCTCTTACTTCTTTATCGGACAGCAGATACAGAGAAGGCACAGGAAAGTCTGGTAAAGGAACAACAAGCTCTTCGAGTGGTATCTTACAAAAATCTTTGTTGCTTCTTTCTGGAGGCAATGGTGGCCCTTCAAATTCTTCTTTAAATCTTTCTGCATTTATTGCATAGGTCAGAAAGTCTCTCCTTTCCGGTCCCGGCACATGAATCTTTCTCTGTAGTTGGTACGTGCGTCTCTGCTCAGTATCTCTGCGACGACATCTTTCATCAAGCTTTCCAACAAATTCCAAGGTCCACACTCTGTCGTTCTTCGCTCTTGGATATAGCATTTGCACATAATGTCGAATTAACTTAATCCTAACTGGATCAAGCTGTTTTTTGCCCAGAGATCCACTACAATTATATTGCTTCCTTAGGTTTTCGTGAGTAAACAATTCAGGGAATAAGTGAACCAGCAACCGAGAAGCAAAATTGCCTATAGACAAGCTACTTTCATAAATATTTTTAAGCTGTTCCTTGTTTAACAGGTAGTCTGGAATAGGGACATCAAAATCGGGGGAAGGGACATTTATTTTATCAAAGTCTATAGGTACAAGCCAAATCTTTTTTGACCTTCTACCTGGCCTTTCATATTCAAAACTGTCTTCCACTTTTATAACAGACACATCGTCAGGCAAACTAGAATCATAGCAATCGTCTCTCAACTGTTCACTCTCACTGTCATCCATATACATGTTTTCAAGTTCATCGTTTATTCGTTGAACACAATGCTGCAACCAAGCCTTTCTCTCCTGCATAGCAGGAAAATAAATCTCTGTGTACCTGCGGATTACCTGAAGTCGCTGGGGGTCAAGCTCTTGTTTCCCACATTCTCCATAACAACTGTATCTCTCGGCCAACTTCCTGTGATCAAAGAGTTCTGGAAACAATCTGTGCAGCAAAAAGACACAAAATTCTCCTGGAGAGGAAGCCTCATCTAAAAATTCATTTATATCCTGAGCATCAAATACCCATTCAGAAACAATAGAGTTACTTCTCTCCATGGACAGCACTTCTTCGTCTTCCTTATCCCCAAGGATCTGATCAGTGTCATAAAAACTGGAGGCCTGTATATCTGGCTGACTATTTTCCATGTCCCTCTGAGCCCAAAAACTATTGAAAAAGTCATTGACCTGAGGCAAACATTCTGCCTGCCAAACAGCAGGATTCTTCACAGAAGGGTAACAGACTTCCACATAATTTCGGATGAGCTGCAGATGCAGTGATTCAAGTTTCTTTTTGTTAAGGTAGCCACAAGTACTACAGGCCCTGCCCATTTCATCCTCACTGAAGAGCTCAGGAAAAAGCTGTACCAATAATCGGCAAGCCAAGTCTGCACCTGATGTGCTCTGATCCATGAGGAGCTTGAGTTCTGGAGCAGTCAGTTGATACTCAGGCGGAGGCCTGAAATCTGCTACAATATCTATTGGGTTGACGTGCTTTTTAATTCTACTGACTTCTAGTGATAACAAGTCTACTTTACTGTGAAGCTGAGTCATGTTGGAATTTAAGGTATTCAGTGTGTAAAACATTTTTTGTATCAAAGAATATATATTTGGATCAGACTCAGAAGCAAGAACGGAAAGATTACTTGCATCTCTTTTGCGTTGCTCATTCAAATTCCGAAGACTGGAGGGACTGCTAGGATTAACTTTATCAAACAAGTCATAAGAAGCGAACTGTTCCGTTCCTGGCAGAGTCTTCTTCTCTGTAATTTTATGTGAGATGCCATACAGAGGCTTCTTATAGGATGGCATGACTGTGTTATTCAAGCTTTCTTCTTCACAAATCCATGTTACATTGGGATTCTTAGTCCTGTTTGGCTGTTCCACATCTTCCTGAGTAGGTGACCCATCTCTGTGCTTCAGGTTTGAAATAAGGCCCTTTCAATGAATACACATAACATTAATATTAGATGTTATTTCTAACATAATTCATTAAATAAGAAATAAATAAGGTGTGTATTGCCTGATTTCAAGTACTGAATTGATTTAATACAATATTGTCAAAGACTAGTTGAACTTCATATTAATTTAAATTAAAGGGACTTTTGCTTAGTCATGGCTAACTTTCTTCAGTAATTTCCATGTAATAAGCTTACTTGGACCCAATCCACAATCTAATATTGGATCATATTTTAGCAGCAATTTGTTATTTATTAACACCGTGAGAGAAAAAATCCAGGGTTGACTTCTGTGGATTTTATTATTCACAGATTTGGTTTAAAAATGTTCTCTCTAAGAATTTATAGGTCCTCCAGGGTGAATCTATGATTAACATATGTTGGAAGTTGACCACAGAGTTGTTCTGGAGAACTGATATATTCCTTGAGAGGTGTACTCTTTGGTTTAAAAATCAACTTTTTATTTAGTTTTTATTTTTGCAGAAGTCCCATGAAAGTGAATGTGGAGGGCTGACTGTATTTTCCTGAAATATTCTATACATAAACAAATTGTTCTGTACCCTAGTCCCCCAAGACTGAAATACTCAAATTAATTAACTCATGTGCAACAGGATAGAAATGAGATCAGTATTAATATGTGTAGCAAACATCTTAACAGATATTCAAATAATAAGTAGTCATAATAAAACAATGGACCAATTTTGTAATTCACGTATCCATACTATTTTCTTCTATATCCTCAGTTCTGAAAATTGTCACTTTGTTAACATAAACAAAGAAGCAATCTTAAGCACCAATTTACACAAAAGGTTTGTATTATTTTGCATTCATTTAGTCCTTGCCTTTTTCATTTTTTGTCTTTGTAGCATAAAGCAAGAAAATAAATATAAATGGCAATGCATGGGAATTTAATTCACATGCAAGAATTCACAATTTAAAAATGTGATTATGTTGTATTTTTACAGCTTGCTGTTGAAAATACTAAGTAGGCAAAAGATATAAAGGTAAAAGATATATTCTACAAAGAAAAAGGGCAAGGACTAAACACTTTTTTTATAAAATGAAAACTCGTAAACTTTAAATCATGATCCCTCTAAGAATTATGGCACATGACTTAAGGTTCACATCTTCACGAACAATCTCAGATAATTGCATAAAAATGTCATTTTCTTCAACCAGTAATTTGTTATACCTGTTTATTGTAATAACAAATAGGTTTCAAAAATACATGAATACAACTAACACACTTATTTCTGAGATTTTCTTCTGTAATATTTGTTTGACCTATCCTGCCTGAGTGGGCATTTTACTAAGAAAATATCAGGTACCAAGGACAAATTATGCAAGTGTATAAAAGCTAAAAGTTAACCCCTTACATTGTCTAGTCGTGTCCGACTCTGGGGGATGGTGCTCATCTCCATTTCTAGGCAGAAGAGCCAGCGTTGTCCATAGACACCTCCAAGGTCATGTGGCCAGCATGACTGCGTGGAGCACCATTACCTTCCCACCAGAGCAGCACCTATTGATCTACTCACATTGGTATGTTTTTGAACTGCTGGGTTGGCTCTTTCTGGCTAATTAAACAAGTCAGAAGGGGACTGTAAGAGTGGGAGAAGGTGTTGGTGAATGCCTCCTTGGCACAAGGCTCAGTGCCAATTAGCCTTAAGGAGGAAGTAGTAAAACCTCTTTAAAAACTAGCACTGTATCCCACTCAACTAAACAACTATCAGCTAGTTTCAAATCTCCCCTTCTTGGGTAAGGCTCTGGAAAAGGTGGTGGCCTCTCAGCTCCAGAGTTTCTTGGAAGAAACTTATTATCTGGATCTGATTTCAAACCTGGTTATGGAACTGAAACTGCATTGGTCGTCTTGGTAGATGATCTACGAAGAGAGCTAGATAGGAGGAGTGTGTCCTTGTTGGTTCTCCTGGACCTCTCAGTGGCATTCGATACCACCAACCATGGCATCCTTGGGGGTCATCTTACTGGAATGGGATTAGGAGGTACTGTTTTGCAGTAGCTTTGTTCCTTCCTGGAGGACCGAACCCAAAAGGTGGGGCCGGATGACTCCTGTTCGACCCCTTGGTCACTGGCCTGTGGGATCCCTCAGGGATCCATTCCATCACCCATGCTATTTAACATCTACATGAAACCGCTGGGAGAGAACATCCAGAGTTTTGGAGTTCAGTGTCATATTTATGCAGATGACACCCAACTCTATTACTCTTTTCCACCAAACACCAAGAATGCCATTCTGGTCCTGAACCAGTGTCTGTCAACAGTAAGGGACTGGATGAGGGCAAACAGATTGAAATTAAATCTTTCCAAGACAGTGGTACTCCTGGTCAGTTGTAAGGCAGATCTGGGCATAGGGATGCAACCTGTAATGGGTGGGGTTACACTCCCCCTGAAGTCACAGGTACGCAGTTTGGGTGTGATCCTGGACTCATTGCTAACCCTGGAGCCTCAAGTGCTAGCAGTTGCCAGGAGTGCCTTGTGCACCAGCTGCATCCGTACCTTGAGACGCCAGATCTGGCCATGGCAGTCCACACCTTAGTTACATCTCAACTAGATTACTGCAATGCAATCTACACGTGCTGCTTTTAAAGAGCACTCGAAAACTTCAGCTCGTCTAGAGATCTGCAGTCAGGTTACTAACTGGAGCGCTGTACAGGGAGCAAACAACTCCCATGTTATGGCAACTTCATTGGCTTCCAGTTTGCTACCGGGTGAAATTTAAAGTGCTGGTCATTACGTTTAAAGCCCTAAATGGTTCAGGTCCAGACAACCTGTCCACCTGCCTCTCCCATATGAACCTGTCCGGTCACTGTATTCATCAAGCGAGGCCCTCCTCTTGGTTCTGCCCGTTCTAACCCAGCTGGTGGGTATGAGAGAGGGCCTTTTGTGCAGCTGCCCCCCGCCTCTGGAACTCTCCCAAAGGAGGTGAAAACTGCCACCATGCACCTCTTTAAGAAAAAAACCTACCTATGTTCCCAGGCTTATGGAGAATTAGATGTCTGAATACCTGGCTTCCACACAATGAATGGTTTATTAACAAGGCTTTAAAGACAGATATGGTTTTAATCTATTGATCAGGTTTTTAATCTTGCTTTTAATGTTGCTGTGGATTGTGTTTTATTGATTGTTATGTTTAGTTATGATATATTACATGTATTAATTATCTGTATTTAATATTTGTATTTTTATTGTGTATTTGTGTGGCATCGGATGGCTGCCACCTATGCTGTAAGCTGCCCCAAGTTCCCAAGGGGAGATGGGATGGGGTATAATTAAGTTGACTTGACTTTGGTACAGCCCAAAACTTCCCGTAAAAAAATTCCCAAACACCAAAAGATATAAGTGCAAATACTGACCAGGTTTGATTAACTGCTAGTCAATCCTTAAGAATTAGGCATAAACAAAATATGTTTATTATCCACATGTAAAGGAATTACCTCTTGTGTAAGGCCTCTTTTTTTCACACTAGGTTGAATTTCTTGGTGGTTTGCTGAACCATTACAAACAAGCGAGGTCCGTTTTCGTTTGTTGGTGTCTTGCAGGCAATTCACCAAACTCTCAAGTGAATTTTTCGCATGTTTTGGGATCACAGAGCAGTCTAGCACTTCATCTTCTTTATTTGTTTCTATTTTCAAAATATTTTTGGTAACTGATACAGAGAAAAAGTGTAACAAATGAGTTGCAGACAAGATATTCATTTAACTATTATGATTCCAAGCAAAAGTTTTCTGTTGGATAACATATTACTCATGAGGGAATTCACATCAATCTTTACTGAGACTAGTTCAAAAAATTATCATACCACAATAAATGTAGAAATAACTGTACTCAATATACTAAAACTTTAAAATTACATCAGCACCCTCAGTTCTTAAAATGCTGACCTCTAATTAACTGTATTCAGTAGTGAATAGTTTTATTCAGGAACAGTTCTTTCTCCAAAACAATCACATCTCTAAAGGTAAGACAGTAATGATAACAAAACCTACGGTACAGTTAGTAAAATATATGTATTGACATATATGATTAACAAAAATGTCTTAATTTGTTAGCACAATATATCAAATATATTTTGGTACAATTTTTAAAGTATTCTGGTCTGATAAAATAATATATTAAAAAGATGAAACACTACCTTCTGTATTCTCTTCATCATATAATTCAGATGAATTCATATTCTGTTTCTCTGCATTAAGAGAAAAAAATCAAACATATCAAATCTTAAAAGAGGCATAAGCAACAACCATATTACTCAACTCTCCAAAACCACAATTTCTACCTCATGTGAAGGGAGGGTGAACACAAAAGATCTGCCCCATTTACTACACTGCTGAAAATACTGGCCAGGATCCAACTGGGAAATCAGCTGATAAAACTGATTGGGATTGGGAGGGTCATTTCACCACTGTACAAACATTCTTGACACTCCAGAGTCAGTTTTCAGGCACGACTGAGGACTCAAGGGTTCTGAACTTTGCTGGTAGTACACTGCCAGATTTTGGTCTTAAGACATTGAATGCAATACTGTACATAGGAAAAATTGGAATGAGTCTGAGACTAGATAGGCTTTCTTAAGGATGCTAGAATCCAGTGTGAAAGTATCTTTATTGCAGTCCACATGATCCTCAGAATTCTTCTGCAGCACATCATCTCCAATGAACTGATCTTATTCCTATCAGGTTTTCCCCCTATCAGCATGGCGCATCCTAAAATTATTGGGTGATACATCTTTACATTTCAGGGGATAACAGGGAGCTGAAATAATTTTTGTTTATGAGCTGAATTCCATTTATAAAACTTAGGATCCAAGCCACACTTCTTGCTTGAAGCTCTGAACTATTTGTGTTAAGAAACGAAGCAAGACATGAGTGGATCCAAACAAGAGATTTCAGACAGACCTTGTAATATCAGTTCTGATGCTTATGTGAACACCTAAACTTGTAGTATTAAGTATGCTTAAACATACTTAAGCACACTCGTGATATTCAATGCTCTTACTCCCAGCCAACTCAGTGCAAAACTAGTTCTAATGACTGTTGGTTAAACTTCTGGAAGATTACTCCTGGGGAATACAGCTTCCACAAGCCCATTCCCGTTTTCAGACTGAACATGACCCCCACTCAAGAAAAACATACTTAAAATATAACTTTCAAAGTAACAGAAAAGGATGTTGAAGAAGGAGTTTTTCCCTGACACCCAGTTCATTGATCCCTGAGAACAGGCTAAGTAACACATGTTAAGAACCTCTCCTTTGGCAGTTGGTAAAATAGTAAATCTGAAGATCCCTTTAAGCTGTGCATTTTGTTCAGAACACATTATGTAGCCAGAATGAGTTAGTTGTATAAGTGATTAGTTTCCCATTTTTTCCTAGTTTGATTCAACCTCATTCCAAATTAATTATTAGGTTTACTCTCATCTCTTCTAAATGGCTTTACACGTAGCCCTCAACATTTGCAGGTTTGATTTTTATGGATCTGATTATTCGGGATTGGATTAAAATGTTCTCTCTAGGGATCTCTAATCCTCCAGTGATCTCTAGGTCCTTCAGTGGTCAACTTCCACCACAAGCTGACCATAGAGTCATGCTGGAGGACCTATAGATTCCTGTAGAGAACACCTACAAACCTCTAGGTATTCAAGTGTGCTTCTATCATCAACTTCCAGAGTTTTCTAGAGAGGTATTCTCTCAAATTAAAAAAGAGCATTTTCGCAGGTGTTATGATTCCCTTAACCTCAATGAATGTGGAGGGCTGGAAAAGGTTTATTAAAGTGCAAAAAAACTTTGTTTTTCTGGGGCATCCTTCAGAACATTTTGCTATTGTTTTTCAAGGAGTATCTCATTGAATCTCAACCAGTTCTACATAGTTTGTGGCAGCCACAAAAATGAAGTTTCTAGAGTATAACAACTATTTTCAAAGTAAGTATCACACAATTAAACAGGAATAACACTTTGAATCCAGGAACATTTTTTTTCCAAATTTTGTTACACAGTATTATCAGAGCATGTGACCAACAGTTTGCTCATATAGTCAACTTTAGCATATATCTTTGAAACAATTAAAGAAATTGGGTTGCTGTAAATTTTAGCCATATGGCCATGCTCCAGTAACATGGCCATACAGTTCAAAAAATCACAACAACCCAGTGATTCCGGACATGAAAGCCTTTGAAAACGCTAGCTATTTATTTATTTATTTATTTATTTATTTACAACACCCATATCAGCCCGAAGGATGAAATTATTAAACCAGTGTGCTATCAAACATGATCTCTGGGGGAGGGGTTACCCCTGCTTGAAGATAATTTTATACCCAGTACAGAATTTGTAATAATTTTGTGCATGAAACAAAGTTTACATTGAGCCATGAGAAAGCAAAAGCGTCACTATCCTATTACACATATGGACAATTATGGAATTGGAAGTATTTTGGAAATCAGATAGGGGATACACAACCCATACTAAAAAGCTAAACACCTTTGAAGAGAAATACAGACAATCCTATTAAAGAGGGCAATCTTCCCAAACAAAGGTGTACTACCCCACACCCCCAGCTGGTATTCCTACAAAATCCATTTTTTGGCTGCCTGGACTAACCATGTAGCCCTCTCTCCTAGTTGTCAAGCAACCTATCTCATTGTAGTATGGGACAGGTCCTTAAAATGAAGGAATGGTGCAATACTATACAAGCTTAACAAAACATTCCAACAACTCTCTTCAGTTGCTGTTAAATCTTTTTAGCATTTATTGATGTATTGTGCCTTTGTGTTATGTTGCAGTCCTTTCTGTACATTTAAAGACTACGTGTCACTGAACATAGTGGAAGGATAACTTCTGAGTATAGCTGCAGTAGTTAACCATGCTTACTTGATTGTAAGCCCTACTAAACTCAGAAGAGCTAAATATTAACAGCTTGTTGTCAAAGGCTTCCATGGCTGGAATCCCTGGACTGATGTGAGTTTTTTTGGGCTGTATGGCCAAGTTCCAGAGGCATTATCTCTTGACGTTTTACGTACATCTATGGCAGGCATCCTCAGAGGTTGTGAGGTCACAACCTCTGAAGATGCCTGCCACAGATGTGGGCAAAATGTCAGGAGATAATGCCTCTGGAACTTGGCCACACAGCCCGGAAAACTCACAGCAACCCAGTACAGTAGAGTCTCACTTATTCAACCTTCACTCATCCAATATTCTGTATTATTCAATGAAGTCTGCCTCCTACCCAGATCCACTTGTTTCAATACACTGCGATGTTGCGGTGCTAAATTCGTAAATACAGTAATTACGACATAACATTATCGTGTACTGAACTGCTTTTTCTGTCAATTTGTTATAAAACATGATGTCTTGGTGCTTAATTTGTAAAATCCTAATGTAATGGCCTTTTCCTTAATCACTCCTTATTATCCAGCATTTTCACTTATCCAACATTCTGCCGGCCCATAAGCAATACTCTTCTGCATTAACAGTTTGGCGAGGGCGAGTTTATCATCAGCTAGCTTTGTCATGTCATTCACACTTCTACTTGCACCCATCTAGAGATGCTTTGCCACCCATGTAAATCTCTGAGAAGTAGCTCTTTCCCCATCCACCCCCCAAACTTCTGGAGTTACCGCCAATATCCTACCTCCTTCCTAGTCTAAATTCCAACAGTGCATTCTTCCCACTCAAGGCACAAGAAGTTGCTGCTTCAGATAACTTGAGAAGGTACGCTTATGAACAAAGGTTGCTTACAGTTAATAAACAGGTCAACGTGACGAGACTGTTTTATTTTTTTAATGCTTGTTGATGTATTACTTTAATTATGATTTATGTTTAATTGTGGTTTTACTATTGTAATTGTTTGTATTGGCATCATACCGATGCCCAATGTAAGGCATTGAATCTTGCCATTGAGTCCCCCCGGGGGTGAGAAAGGCGGTATATCAATACTGTAAATAAATAAATAATAAACTTCATAGCTGCCACCACTCTGGGTAGAAGAGACTACCTGTGAGCACGGAAGCCAAGGATGGGCAGTGCAACAGCTATGACTGGGTGCATGAGGCACAATCACGGCATCTCTGAACGAGTTTACCAGTGAGGAAACTGGTGATTAGAAGGTGTCACCAGGTGAATTTGCTTACCTATATTCCTTCTCTAGGTAAGTGCACAGCTGGAAGCATACACAACCCTCCATACGGAAGGTGGGCAAGCAAGGAGGCAAGGGCAGCAGCTACTTCTGGAAGCAAACACCTTGCATGCATGCATGCCCTCACTATCACTCTCTCTGGATAACAAAGTATAATTTAAATAGAGGCCATAGGAGTCCCCGGCGGCACAATGGGTTAAACCCTTGTGCCAGCAGGACTGCTGACTCCTGCCGATTCAAATCTGGGGAGTGGGGTGAGCTCCCGTATGTCAGCTTCAACTTCCCGTGCTGGGACATGAGAGAAGCCTCCTACAGGATGGTAAAACATCTGGATGTCCCCTAGGCAATATCCTTGCAGACGGCCAATTCTCTCACAATAGAAGTGATTTACAGTTTCTCAAGTTGCTCCTGACACACAAAAAAGTAGAGGCCCAGGTATAACAGCAGTCCTTCAAAGAGCAAGGCCTCTTCCACATTCAGTTCATGTATGGACACATAGCTATAAGCCATTTCCTACTTTCTGTCCATCTGAAGAACATGGCTTCCACTTATTGCCCCAAAAAAGTGAGGGGGGCATGGGCCAGTTCTCTTTAAAAGTACAAGCTAATAAGGGCAAGGGAGGCCAAGGGAAGGCAGTACTTTCATCTCCAGAGAGTGAATAGGAGGATGTCAAGAACGCCTCCTTGCTCAAATCCTGAACGAGCCCTTATGAGTAATTTTTACCTCAAATACCGATTTTTTTTCTCTCTTTTTTGATATTCTTATGAGAGGATGTGGGTCTGGCATGGGAAAGGGGAACAGGCCATCGTCCCTCATGGAGGAAAGAGACACACGAGAGATAGGCAAACAGTGGAGGGGCGCTGCCGCCATTCTGAGCCTGCCCCTGCCATCCAATCAGAAGCGGAGGCCCCTGCGCGCGTGGAAGCTTGCCTCGCCCCCCCCCCCCCGTCTCTCCCTGCGCGCGCGAGGAAGCTTGGCCCCGCCCCCTCCCCTCGTGCACCCGTCTCGAGGCAGCAGAGCTCTGAGAGTCGAAGGGTCACGTGAGCCCTGCTCTCTGTCCCTCTCCAAAGTGGAATGGCTTGGCTGGGCTGAAGGGAGTCTGCGAGGGCCACGCTCTTCCCCGTCTCCCTCAAGGAAATCCACCGTGGCCTCGAAACCACGCGGCAACCAAGTCTCGCGAAACCCTGTTCAGAGCGCCTGGGCAACCGAGATGTAGGGAAGGGAAAAGGCTGACTCTACCCACAAGAAACAGCGCTCTAGCAACCTCCCCCTCCCCCTGAGTGGAGCCGTTCTATGTGGCGCGTGGAAGCGGGGGCGCCTGCGAGAGAGCGCGCTCTGCGTCCTGCTCCTCCTCTCCCTCCCCCCTCCCTCCAACGCTCCGCGCGCGAGATGGAGGCGCCCGGGGCTGCGTGGTCCGGAGAAAGGCCGCGCGGCCATGGTTACCCCCCTCCCTTCCCCCACGCACGCGCGTGCACGCACAAACCGCGAGACGGAGGGAGGGAGGGGGGCGCCGGGGGGGGGGGTTGAGTAACGGCGGCAGCGACAACTCTTTCCGAAAGGAGCCACATGGGGAGGAGAGGGGGAATCGCCTCACTGCCGCAGGACGGACACGAGCTCCACGCGAGAGAAAGTTGCGAGGGGAGTTGAGGGGGAGAGGGGCTTACCTGGGTGCTCCTCCTCAGGCACTGGGGAAGGAAAGGAGGAAGGAAGGGAGGTGGAGGGTGGCCGCGTGGGGAGGGCTCACCCGTGGGGCCTTGGTCTCGCGTGGGGGTTTTCTCCTCTTTTCAGAGCGGCTGTGGCGCGGGCTCCCGTGTCTCTTTTTCCCCCCTCCTCCCCCTTTAGCGCTTTGTATATATATGTGCGTGTGTGTATGTGTGCCTCTGTGGGTCCGCGCGCGCGACGCTCTCGCGTGACGTGACGGGACCGTGGTGTGTGTCATTTCCGCACAAGGACCAACTGAGGCCCCCCGAGAAGGAATCACGGCGGCCACCCGAGACGGGGGGAGGAGGAGGGGGGAGGGGCGTGCTCAATTGGAGGCACCCTCGCGCGCGCATCGCCCCACACCTCTCCCCCACCTCCTTCGCCTCTCTCTCCCCTCCTCCTCCTCCCCGCGCGCGCACACACACACACACCCCACGGGCCACGCCCCCTTCCTCGTGGCCGTGCGCCCGTTTAGGGGAGGGGGAGGGGACGCCAGAGAAAGCCCGCAGGGACACTTCCTTGGGTTTTGGAGTTTGTTGTTTTTTGCACGAACCCACGGATAATAACACACCCCAAGCCAAAAAAAGAAAGAAAAAGGACTTTTTTTCTTGGTGTCATTGTTTTTAGGCTTGATCTTGGAGTTATTTGGGGTGCAGGTTCAAAAAATGTCATTGGATAGAGCGCATCAGCTCTAGATTCTTAAATATGGTTTCCTGTGGGGCAGCAGATGGAGATGACCAGGTGGCATATGTTCTGTTTCAGAAACTAGAGCGGAAAGGGGAGGAAACTAGTGCCATTTTGGGAGTCAGGAGGTCAGATATGCCCAGAAACAGGTTTAACGTTTTAGGCATCTAAACCCGCATTGGCCAGTGTAATAATGAGGATGATGGTGGTGGGATCACAAGCCTGAAAAAAGTTACAGAAAATGAACATGTCAAAATGAACTCTGGGACTTCCGAATTCAGACTGACAAGACTTTTGGAGAACAATACTCATGACCTCACAATCCTATTAAAAAACAAAAGTATGGATCGTCAATGTTGCAGTCTCAGGTGACAGCGGGATTGAAAAGAAACAACTGGAAAAGCTGACACGATACGAGGATTTAAAGATTTAAAGATAGAGCTGCACTCTGGCACAAGCCAGTCAGTGTGGTCCCAGTGGTGATTGGCACAGTGAGTGCAGTGCCTAAAGACATTGGCCTGCACTTAAACACAATTTTTGGCGCTGACAAAATTACCATCTGCAAAAGGCCACCCTACTGGGAACTGCACACATTATTCGCTGCTACATCACACACTTGGGAAGTGTCCCACGTGTGATCCTTTGCCAATACATCACACAGTCCTAGACATTTGGGAAGTGTCCGACGTGTGATCCAATACAACAACCAGCAGAGTGATCTTGTTTGCCGTGTACTAATCTTGTGATTCAAATAATAATAACTTCATTCTTGTACCCCGCCTCCATCTCCTCGAAGGGACTTGGTTCAACTTCCATATGGCACAAAGTGCCTAAAACAGAGCATGAAATAAACACACAGTACAATACAAAAAAGTAAAACATATAGCATATAAAACAACAATTGAAAACTCAGAACAACACCCAATAACTTATGATGACAATAATAATAATAGTAATAATAAGCCATTTTGCCTTACAAGCGGCATCCACACAACTCAAATACAGTACAGGCAGTCCCCAAGTTGGTTTTGTAGGATTGTTCTTAAGTTGAATTAGTTTGTAAGTCAGAACAGGTAACTCCAGCCAAATCGATAGGTGGCTTTGGATAGCATAGGGAAGGGTTTATTTATTATTTATTTACTTACTATATTTGTATACTGCCTTTCTCAGCCAATCAGCGACTCAAGGCGGTTTCCAACAAATCAGTATACATAAAAACATAATATGTTTATGTATTATGTTTGTTTTACTGTCTGTTCAGAAAATTTCACCTCACTTTCTGTACCTGTAATAATTGGATTTTGAGCAACTTGGCTTGTGGAAACATGGATTGATGATAAAGCTTCAGTGGAGGCACCTTTCCTCCCATGGTAACTCTTAGGAGTGAATTTCCCTTCCGAGGGATAGATTTCCCTCACTTCCTGTTGTCTCAGCCCCGTTCTTAACTATGAATCGCTTGTAAGTTGGATGTTTGTAATTCGGGGACTACCTGTACTGGACCTGAGGACTGTTGGGATGAAGCAAAATGAGTTATGGTGTCAGAAAGTCTTATAAACCCAAATAAGAACAAATCCATCCTGAAGAGAGCAGTCAGCATTGGCCAATCATTGCCATAGCATTTTAAGTGGTGTCAAAACTGCATTCATTCCACAGTGTAGATGCACCCAGGGCTGCTTTATGTCATAAACTGGTTTCTGTTCCTGCTCCTTAAAACAGATTGGTGGCATGTGGAGAAGAGATGTGCAAAGATCTGGATTTGTCCTATCTGCATGGAGTCTCCATGGTCTGATTTAATATATCTTTGGGTTCCTGTTATAATAATGGAATTGTAGATGTGGAATGGGCCACAAGGACCATCTTAATCCTTTTTCCATTGCCATACAGGAGCCCCTGGTGGCACAATGGGTTAAACCCTTGTGTCGGCAGGACTGAAGACCAACAGGTCGTAGGTTCGAATCTGGGGAGATTGCGGATGAGTTCCCTCTGTCAGCTCCGGCTCCCCATGCGGGAACATGAGAGAAGCCTCCCACAAGGATGGTAAAACATTCGGTCATCCCCTGGGCAACATCCTTGCAGATGGCCAATTCTCTCACACCAGAAGTGACTTGCAGTTTCTCAAGTCGCTCCTGACATGAAAAAAATGCCATACAGAACTACACAGCTAAAACCGAGAGGTAGCCTTCCAGGCTTTGCTTTGCTTTAAAAGGAACCAGGGGCACAACAGCACATCTGTTTTATGACCCCAACAGATACATCGAATGGTAAAATTGTTTCATATAAACCCTCTAGGTGTTTTGGACCTCAACTCCCACAATTCTAATTGTGGAAGTTAAAGTCCAAAACACCTGGAGGGCTAAAGTTTGCCCATGCCTAATATAAGCAGTTGGAAAATATGGTAGCATTAACACTTAGGCATATCTGCACAGTTTCATATTGGTACAGTCTGCTCTTTGTATCCATGGATTTTGCATGCATAGATGTAACCATCACATCTGTAATTTCCTGAATTTGGTGGGCTACATACAGCCTTTCAAGGAAAACCGAATCAGAAACCTGTTTCCCAAAACGGATCTCAAGCATGTGACAAAAGTTTTTTAAAAAAAATTGTGTCAGAAGCAAATTGAGAAACTACAAGTCACTTCGGGTGTGAGAGAATTGGCCGTCTACAAAGACATTGCCCAGTGGACACCCAGATGTGCTACCATCCTGTCAGAGGCTTCTTTCCTGTCCCCCCATGGGAAACTAAGGCTGGCAGGAGTTCACCCAGTCTCACGGATTCGAACCGCCAACCTTCAGGTCAGCAGTTCAGCCAACACGATTTAACCCATTGTGCCATTGCAGCTCCTGTTATGTGACAAGGTGTGGGTAAGGAGTTGTCTTATGATGGCTTCTGGGGGGCAATGCTACATTTTGTCAATGTTGTAAAGGATAATATAAACTTTGAGGCATCACTGTGTTGCATCTGTATGTTGCATGATTCCTGCACCTGGGCTAAGTGCAGTGAGTGGAGCAAAGGAGGTTCATTAGGCAAGAACCTAATGGAGAAGCGCAAACCACTGACCACCTGCTGCAATGCAACCTGAGCCCTGCCACATGCACAATGGAGGACCTTCTTGCAGCAACACCAGAAGCACTCCAAGTGGCCAGATACTGGTCAAAGGACATTTAATCAACTACCAAACTCACAAATTTTGTATTTTGTCTGTTTGCTTTGTTCTGTTAGAAATGTAATATAATTGACTGGTTGCCCTGACACGACAAATAAATAAATAAATAGGCAAGACTGAAACAGAAAGAAGGCTGGTTGTAATTACGACTTCAGGCATTGTTTTACCCAAGTTTCTGCCTGCAAAGTACAATGAAACAGCTTCCCTACTTGCAAAGTATGGCATTTATACAGGATATTTAAAATTTAAATGCATGAAAATAACTTATTTCTGATGATACGTGATAATCATAACTCATGCCTGTAGGGTATGAGGGATCTCTCCCCTTTTTAGCATTTTTTTTTACAGTTTCTTGTTTTGTTTTCCCACTGGTTTATCTAGCAGTTCCTTTTTTGTCTCTCAGCTCCGTCCAGGTGCTTCTTTGGCATCATTTTGTCACTTATAACCTATAAATCTGTTGTTTAATATTCTTTATGTCTCTTTATTAATTTAAATATTGCCTTTATCCTCTTTTTAAAAACTTCCAATATATCTATTTGTCTCCATTTACTACAAAGTGGGAGTCTTGGGGTCATGTCTGGAAAACATTATTGCATATGTGTGATAAACACCAATTAGGAAAACTGTTACAAACATTGAAATGCAGTATTATAAACTAGATTTATGCCTAATCAGTGATCAGGTCGTAAATACTGACAGCCTAATCTGGAATGCATTTTCTATGGAGTAAATGCCAGTGGTTGCTATTTCTATGAGCTTTACACAGTATGCTTCTGGGATTTCTTCTCCCCAATTGCTACA